TCTGCTATCATTTTGACTGTCAGAGAAACACAAGACTATCATCAGAACACAATCTGTGTACAAGCTAAACTAAATCATAGCCATTTCTATTTATTTAAACAATGAGACGTGCTCAGTTTTATTTCATTTTAGTTAAAGAATAAAATTACGTCATAGGTTAAATCTCGTCTTGCATGCACACACAAAACATTGTTACTCAAAGGTGCACCGAGTGAACGATCCGAGAGCTAAACTGTCATTATGCAGTGGTAAGCCGTGACAAATCCTGTATAGGATATCAGAAAATATACTCTAAGAAGTCAGCTAAATCCCTATTACCTTACAATCCTATTGAAATTAACCTTAAAAACGACTTTTACGCTCCAATATTCGCATGACATTTAAATGGATAATAATCTAGTGTGCAGAACATTACATTTTGCTTTGTTACAAAGAAAGATTTCTTAAACAGCACTACAATGCACGGATGTGAAAATGAATCATTTTAACCTTTAAAAGGAATTGTACGGCTTTTACACGTTTACTGATTTCTAATGGATTTTTACTTTCTGCCTCAAAGCAGTGCTTAATTTTCATGAGCGAGTTTAAGTGATGGCTTTGGACCCATTTTCTCCGTGAAGCTGAGACATATTTCAGCTTTCCCTGCACATTAGTTGCGCTGGGGAGTTTGTCTTTGAACCTTTTGCTTTGTTTGTAATTCAACAACGGAAAACTTGGAAGAATTCATCCAGATGTCCACTCATGCCCCCTGGTGTTGGTTTACTGCTGCTGCTGCTGAGGAGCCAGAAACCTACTGAGAGCTGCCAGAAGTGACCGAATCCGAGTTAACGAGATTCTTCTTTTTGCATCGGTCACCGACTGTCACAGAGCGGCTCCAGTCTGAACACGGAAGGCAAGAAACACAAAAAACTGTATCTTGAACCATGTGGCTATTATGCTGCAGTATTGTTATATGTCAAAATGAACTGCTACCTGAGTCTTCACAGAGTCTGAAACGTCCACAGCACAGGTGGATTCTCCACTGTTTCCTCACATTTTCCTTCATCAGGCAGTGGAACAAAAACACAAAGAAGCCTTGACGAAAAAACAAAAGAAGAAGAACAGTGACGTTCAATTGCACTCAGTTTGACATTAAAAATGATATAAATTTGTGTTTTAGTTCATCTTTTTCTCTTAGCCTTGACAACACTCTTAAGGATTTCTTAACACTTGTACTAATTCTAAAAAGAAAAATCTTTATGAGATGAGAAAACCCGAACAAAATGATAAAATCACTGGAATTTAGGAAAAAATGTTTACAGAAGCGTTGGAAATGAGTTACACTTGTGCAGCTAGTGTCAAGTTAATAGCAACTACAACTCAGTCTTACCCTGCAAACTGTTGAGGAAAACGAACAGGTACACCAGGACTACTCTGGCAGGCCCAAAGGAAAAAAAGCCAATTGACCACGTGAGGCCTAACAGAACCGTGAGACTGGCAACCGCCTTCAAGTCCAGCACAGAGCCGTGGCTGTTTGCGGCAAGCTTATTTGCCCCAATCCGTTTAATTTGGATCAGAACCATGATGAAGACGGACATGTTGCACAACAAGGTCAGACCAATAAATGCCACCACTGTCACAAAGAAGACAACGTCATTCTGTATCCAACAGCTGTAGGAAGAGAGGGAGAATTAGAGAAGTCAAAATGCAATTTAAACAGTGAGCTATTGCAATCCCATCAATGCCATTCATTTAGCCAAGCTTCTACTGTGAGATGACTAGTTCATCAACTCAAACGCACATAGTAAATTGGACACAGCAGTGTCATTATTTTTATATTTTGCATTCATCAGTGCAAATTAGCACTCTCTTGATTTGTTTATTAGACTAATTACATTTCTAATCCAGTATTCATATCAGTAATATTGCAGAACTGCAGTATTTACAATGCTTCAGTGGAATCAAGGACCATTTCAATTTCTTCATCAGCAAGACTGCCGTAGGCATCTGTATCTATGACCAGCACCAGGCTCACTATTACTGCAGGAATACCTGTGAGAAAACAATTCAATTTTATTCTGTTTGTCCATCCCAATTATTTTAATACGTCCTCTACAATTCAAACAACTGTAACTCCTTTCACAATAAACACATTTTATTATTTTGATCTAATTTAAGATTTATTTATTTTTTAATTTCTCTGATCCTTTTCACCATGACAACATAAATAAGCCAATACCAAAACTTAAAATGAATATCAGCATAGGAGTGAACAAAACATTCCTGAGAAATTTATTTCTAGAACACATTTTGGATGTTTTGGGGAGATTTATTCAGTTGCAAGTCCCAAAAGTAAAGTTTAACTCCATCCCCAACCAATCAAGATCCATTAATGTACCCAACGTGTCAGTTAAAGCCACCTGGCAGAGCAATTTTGTTTCTACAGAAAGGGGCACATAGACATGTTTCCTTACCCCATCCTATAATACAGAACTTGAGGATATAAGAGGGGATATATGTGTTGAAGACTTTGACCAATGCGAGATACATGTGCACAGCTTCCAGGCCCATCCACGTGAAGGAGGCCAACATGAAATAGTGGAGCGTTGCAGCAGTAGCGATACAAAGAGCATAATTGGAGAAAGACGAGAGCCAAGTGTTTAGAAGGAAGAGCATGCTCAGCCCCTGCAGTGCAGATGACAGGTTGATGAGTATCTTAGATGGGTAATCTTGTCGCAGCTTCCTGTGGTAAATAAATGGATAATGAGACCACGGTGCAGACTGATGCTTTAAAAGTCACTCCAAAATTATCACTGTGTACTACAGATTTAATCTCTTATCTACATGATTTCAGTATATACAGACATTTCCATACACTCATTATGAGCACGACTGTTGTGTTAATTTGGGTAACTTCTGGGCTTTTAATGATTTCTTTGGAATGACTGTACACCACGCAACTGGGTACACAAGTTTAAGAACTACCAGCCAATCGTGATCAATAACAAGAAGCTGATATGTCTTGAATTCGACATTGTAGAACCTTCAGAATCACTCACGTTGGTGTTGTTTTGTAAAGTCATCAAAGATGTGTATGCTGTACAATCATTTCACCCTGGAAAAAAGAGCACTTCAAAGAAATAATTAGAAGTCCCAAATTACCATGAGATCTGTGCCCACGATCGGTGTATGGAAACTTCTGACCACAAATGTAGGTGGTCATAGACTTTTCATATGCTCAAATCTATTGCAATGCAAAGTCAGTAGTTTTAGCATCAGTATCGGTGACTTACTCAAAAATAAGGTAGGTGAGTAGAGTGAGGCCCAGAAAGATGGAGGATATACCACATCCAATGTATGATAACACTGTCAGGATCTGTTCATTAACCTTACTGAAAGGACTTCTTTTGACATTCTGAAACACAAAAAGTACAAAACCTAAATGCTGGCATCGCCTACAGTGGCATCAAGAAGACACAGGCACCTCTCACAGCTATTTGAAAATGAATAATATGACAACAACTTTATTTTTACACATGGTGACTTTAATACCACTATCTCACATTGCTGGCAGAAAAACACCCATGCAGCCGGCACTGACCAGATTGCACACAGTATGTTGGCGCCTGTAGGAGTTTGTTTTCTAGTTAAATCTATAAAACAAAAAACAGACCAATGACTCACCAGGAGCACAGCGAAATGTGTGAGGTGATCACAGAGACAACTGGTCTGATATGGAGAAACACTCTCGGTTTCACAGCCGCTGCCGTTCCAACCACCCCGCCCACCTGACACACACACACACACACCAGCAAAGATTCACCCACACATGCACACAAACACAAATCTTATCAACAGATGCACAGCTTCAAAAGTTTTGAAAGCTTTATTAAATTTCGGGGTTCGGAGTTACAGTCAATCAACTAAATCCAATAATAAAGAATTTTTGACTCACCATTCTTGTAAAAATCCCAAAACATGCATTGCACTTTGTCCCGTGGCTGTAAATATCGAGAAGTGGAATGATGTTAGAGTCCCAGACACTTTCAT